ATTTATTTTAATGAAAATTGCAAAATGCGAGGTTAAATATTAACCATTTTTAAATCAGCATCAAAAGTCTCCATGATAAGATATAATTAAGTTTCATCCTTAAATTTTTATTTTTTTTTGGGTCGGAACTTGGAAGCCTAAATTGAAAGCATTGCCCAACTTGCCTTTATCATTGCATCCTTCCTAATTAACAGATAATTTGGCAAACATGCTCATACTTCAACAGGTGAGTTTGGCACAGTGCCAAACACATTTGCACAATTTCTCCCTTACAAGTTTGACAATTTTTCAGATAAACATAGAGCAACCTAACTAAAGAAAGTGGACAAAATTATAGAGCTTATAAATTAATTGCGAAAATCATTATTTGGATTTGACACACATAATTTAAATTTTATGCTTCCGTTTTAAATATAAGACATTAGACATGATTAATTAATTTATAGAGATTAAAAAAATCAACTTATTTAATTATTTGATATGGTTATGTAAAAATTACACATAACTTTTTGGGAAAATCCCCTAAAAATGACCCTTGAATTTTAAAATTCTAAATCAAAAATTACTACAAAAATATGCTGTCATTGCTTTTAGAGTGTAGTCATGTATTTTCTTTATAAATATAGTAACCAATACTGATTTAAAGTTTTAAAATCTAATACTTATTTTTTTTTTTTTTGTATTTTCCCTAACTTTCTGTAAACTATAATGAGCGTATTAAACATGGAAAACAAAAAAGTGAAAAAAAAATTAATGAAGATGAAACCACATTCATTAACTAGGTCTACTGTTTAATATATATTTTTTATATTTTAATTTTGTTTTAAACAATTTTTATTTATCCATTTATATAAAAAATAATTTATATTAAAAATAGAATATATATATATATATAATTTTAAACCATCTCAATCATATTTTAATGTTTGATCAATCAAATATACGCAGATATGTATCTACGCCAAATCCAAATCTTTTTTAAGAAGACACGGCTAAAAAGCTTGAATTTCTATTTGTTGATTGTTCGATGTTTGATTGCAGAAGATGTTTAAGTCAAAATAACTTCGGTAAACAAGATAGTGGCAGGTCAAAATAACTAATTAAAGGTCAGTCTGTGAGTATAGAAGAGTAGAGACAGACCTTGTTAGTTATCTATCAGTAACAAAAAGTTGCAGCTGCGTTACTATTAACAGAGTCGTCATTTTAAGCTTTTTATGACGCTATTCGATAACATTAATTGTTTGTGGAAAAAAAATATTCGATCCCTAATGATTAAGTGTGGGGAAAAAAAATTGTTGGGACATGCATTCCAGACAATTGTACGCTACACAAAAGATTAGTCATAATAAGATCTCAATTCATTTTATCTTTTAAATTTATAATTTTTTAAAAAAATATCTTTATTGATGGCCCATGCATGTTAAAAGATTCCATCAAGAGATTGTTCTTATATATAAGATTAGTAAAAGTATTTTAAGAAAGTTAGTATCCTTTTTTTCTCCTTTTTTTTGGGAAACTCAAAGTCTCTCAAATGACTTTAAACTTGAGACTAATCTCTGTCAGGATATGAGCGTTAATGTTAAAATCCTTCCTAAAAATACGTTTTTTTTTGAAATTTGAATTGTTATTATTCTTTTATAAAGTGAGACTACTTATTATATTAACCAACAGTTTGTAACTTAACTAATTTTTTTAATATTATCAAATTAGTTATCTAGTTATTATATTATATGGGTAAGAGTTGGTTGGATGTTTAAAGAGTCATGTGGCACTTTGAATACAAGATTTTGGATTTGAGTCCGTGATCTTGTTGACAATGCTTCCCAGGTAATACTTTTTCCCCCGGCCACCAAAGGAGGAAATACTTGAGAATGCTCTAAACAAACTTGACACGTATGAGTAAATATAATATGATTGTGTATGCGTGGATGGCTCGTATTGCATCCGCCTCCGCGGGATATGCATCCCATCGCCACGAGAGAAGCAACAAAAGGTCAAAAAAGAGTCCGTGTTGAGGTGTGGCAAAACACGATCAGAAACAAAATCCAATGACGAGAAATAAATGCTTGTTTATTCTTCACTTTTCCATTCAGGCGACGACAGACATATCCGGTATGAATCACATTTTTAATCCCTTGTCCGTGCGATCACACATGATTAGAATAGAATCTCCGATTGATCACACAGCTATGGAAATAGTGTCTTGGTGCAAATGAACCACATACTTCTTTCTTCCTCACGCGGAAGCCCTCAGAAAGACAAGCAAGAAGAATAAAACTGGACCTAACTTTGTCCCGTAATATCCCATCATTACGGGCCATGCATGCTTTGGCCTAATCTTCGGTCTTCACACGAAACCTTCTGATCTCTTTAATTTGTTCGTTTTGTTCCTGACGTTCCAAAAGGAGATGACCCCATCTGTTCAGATTAGTCAATTATCATGTGCACAATTACACAAGTCTCATGACTGGTAATTTTTTTTCACCCTTTTACTGTGCGCCTTGTGTTTGTGTAAATGTCTGAATGTGATTGTCTCACTTTATTGATGAGGGTGTTTGGCATTTTCAAAACCACGGTTTTAGAAGTACTTTTTCACAACACGAGATAACCTTCTCTACATATTTATTTCGTAATCCATAAAAACACTTCTGAAACTATAGTTTGGTTTCTATATAAATACTTCCTATATAATATTGTTTTATTGTTTTAAGATCATCAACTCTTTGAATGCTTCCAAACCAAGAAAGGCAGTGAATCACTGAGAGATGTGCATTATTCATGTACATAGTAGGTGAAGTGGAACGAGTCATTTCAAATGTCAAAGACGTCTTTTCACTAGTTAAGGCTGTAGTAAAAGTTCTGTGTTCAGATCACTATTGCTTCCACCTAACAAAATGTTCTTTTCAGATGGGAGAGAAGACCCCCTAGCTGTTCTAAAAACAATATTGACTGGTGTCTGTTTTGGAACGACGGAAAAGGTAGGGGCTACGTGTTTCCTTCCATACAATTATGATAAGAGTAGAGCCGGGAATCAGGGCCGACCCTTTAAGGCTGGCAGACTTAAAAGGACCGGCCTTCCAGGGCTGAAATTTTAAAAATACTCCAATTTGCTAGGCCCGGCCTTAAACTACAGGGTCAGGGCCGGCCCGCGGGCTTTTGGCCCGTTTAAGAAAAAATTCTATTTTTTATATTTATCATTTTTTTTATAAAAATATAAAAATAAACCAATAAAATTATTAATAAAAGATATAAATATGAATAAAATTAAGTCACAAATATAAAATATTATCATATATAAATATTCATCAACATCTAAGAACATCTAAAACATTCATTAACAAGATAACAACATCTAAAAGTTTTATCTATAATGCAATTGTGCAATAAATAAACACTATCATTAATCTTTTGAAGCTTCATCATCACTATAATTAATTATTTTTCTTCATAAGTATGCTTTTCTTTCGTAACAAAAATATCAAGTTTTTCTTCTTTATAAGAATTTTATTTTTAAACTTTGCAATCTAACTATTATTTTACTTTAATGAGAGAAATATTGTTGTTGAAACTCATGAATTTCTAATTCAAATTATAGAATCACAAGTTATATAAGTATAAAAATATTCTATTATCAAATATATATAGTTTAAAAATATCAACGCATATAATATAAATCAAATCATTATTAAAGTCCAAATTAACCCACTTTTTAATAATTTAATTGGATAAATTATTGTCTAAAACTAAATTTAATTTTAAAATGATAATAATAACTAAATATTTGAAATATTATTAACAATGTAAAAAATTAATAACATTAATATTATATAAAAAATTTAAAAAATAAAAAAATTATAAAATGGCTTAAAAGGGCCGGTCCTTTTAAGCCCTCGGCCCTCCAGGGCTTATTTCTCATTTTAAAAGAAAAATATCAAGCCCGACCTTCATAATTTCAGGGTCTAAAAGGAACCGGCCCGACAGGCTCGGCCCGTTTTCCCCGCTCTAAATAAGAGGTTACCATGCACTTCCACTTCCCGATAGATATATTAAATTATATAGGCAAAAATATACTTCAATTTTTTAATGTTAGCTGGTTCTTTTAATTTTATAAGACATATTTTTCAGTCTTTCAATGCTAATGGCTTTAGTTTTAAATGATGATTTTCTTAGTTATCATTATTATTTTGAAAAATTAAACTTAGGGGGTGTTTGGGTTCCAACCCAAACCATGGTTTGGGGATGGTTTGGAAAAAAATTACCCAAACACTCTTAAAAAAACCAAAACCATGGTTTTGGGAAAAGCAAAAAATTTTTGCTTTTGGAAAAAAAAGAGAGTGTGAGAGTCTATAGGATATGTATCTTGTTGTTTTTTTTATAAACATATTTTTTTATAAATATATTTAATCTTATATCTTATAAATATATATACATATTAATTATTTATTAATTATATTATCTTATGTATTATTAATTATGTTAATAAAAAATATATTATTAACAATTTTATTCCTTCAAATTAAAATATATCATAAAATATATTTTTTCTGTAATTATCATATTAATTTATGTCTTTTTTTAGTAATTTGTACATGTAAAAAGTGTTTCTGATAACAACTATCCAAATACTCTCACTTTTCAGAATCATTTTTTCACAAAATCTATTCTTCAAAAAATCTATTCTCTCCAGAAGCTATTCTCCAAATCATGGTTTGGTTATATCCAAACACCCCCCTTTAGTGTATCAATATTTGAGAACGATTTATCAAAACTTAATAATTAGAATTGGAGGGGCACAGTAGCAGCACATGATTAAAAACCCATATGACTAAGGAACTAGGATATTGTCTTTGTTCTTCCCCCCAACGACCCAAGAGAAGCGCAGTAAATTGGAGAGGATAAAGTTGCAGATAGGACCAGAGGCTCCTTGGCTGTGGGTTCAATCTGAAAGCTCTTGAACTCCAGTTGGATTTTGCAGTTTTCCGCAAGTGAAAAAGCCTGCCTTTTTTTTAAATGACAGGACAAGATAATTAAAGGGGTGGAAGCTGAATCAGGTAATATGAAGATGTCCTGTTTAAACTATGGGTCTTATATTCTCTCCTAGTTTTCTTTCTACCTTGTGGTAATCTGTCTTTTTTGCATTAAAAGCTACATCTTTTATTAATGACGGATGCAGAGAAATAATGATGATTGCATCTTATCTTATGAAACCCAATGACCCGGACGAACAACCCTATGTCTCTGGTATTTATGCTTTTTGTAAGATCCATTTCACTTTCATTGACAGCTTCTAGCTGTCTCTGCTGCTCCATAAGTCAGAGAATTAATGTATATTTAGATTTCCAGGGGGTGTGGTGAGTGCTTCTAAGCCATTAAATAGAATGTGATCTTTTAAGTGCCTAAAATATATATATTCGTTCAAATTAATGAAAAAGGAGCTGGTATTTTCAGGTGTCTATAAAGAATAAACAGCTGCTTTTACCATTCTCATTTGAACCTGCTTCTCCTTCTTGCTCTCTCAGGATGGAACAATCCCAGAGCAACGGAGGTGCAGAGGAATGTTACAGCGGCGAATCTGGATGGACCATGTATATTGGATCCACCATAGATGATTACGATGAAGATGAGGATGTAGATAACGACCATACCCCTCAAGCTGAGGTGGAAGATGATGAAAGTGACGACTCCATGGCGTCTGATGCTTCTTCAGGCCCAAGTCACTATGTAAATCCATGGGAGAATATTGAAGGAGGCTATGGCATGGCAGAAGATCAGGAGCAAGATGAGAAGTCTTTCCTGGCAAAGAAAGAAAACAACAGAACCAGAGTTAAGCAAATAGCAGAAAGAAAGGAGGAAGACAATGAAACGGTATTCATTGACGACGAAGGTGAGGCTCCAGATCAAGACGATGGCAAGGTGAGAAGAAATTTCAGGATGGGTAAAAGGAAATAGTTGTATCTCTGTGCTCAGTAGGTTGATTGTTTCTTGGGTTTTATTACCTGTATTTCCAGAGTTGCGATTATAATTACAAAAGCTTGAAGATATCGAATGAGTGAAGAAAAGTCGTGTGTGTGTGTCTGTGTGTGTTCGCAAAGCTGAAAGTTTGTGTCTGTCTTGTTTAGCTTGGATGTGTAATCTCGTGAGGCAATCACATTTGCATGGAATGCAAATATTAAGGAAAGAGGGCATATGTATCAAGTAGAGGTCTATTATATTAGAGGATACTGATTCAGTTATGGCGATGCAATTAATTAAGCTGTGTTGAGTTGTCTTGTTATATTAGTTGGTGGACGCAATTTCTTTCATATATTCATGCGTGGATTCGGAGCTAATTAACAGCATAAATCTACTAAAGCAGATTGATGTTTCTGGGAGATAATTAACCTTTTCCCCCCTTTAAACTTCGACTTCATCTTTTGGCGTGAAGCAATAATTAACTATGAATAATGTTTGTTTATATATTTACCAAACTCATTTATTAAAGAACAATACATACAATACTTCCTAGTGATATTATTAAGCAAAAAATAAAATAAAATAAAATAAGCTGACCAAAGGAACACGATAATATCAATGATCTTACTGTGAATGGTATGGTTGGTTCGCGTTTTGTTTTCTATTTCAATTACGTGTTAATTATGCAAATTTACCATTCAATATGAAGGATAACAACATCAAACTTTCCAAATAAAAATTAACAATGTATTGGTTACCGCCAGATCTTGATGAGGTGGGACTTGATGGATCAGTCCATAATGTTGTCCAGGCCGCTTGTAAGGGATTCATCAAAGACCATGAAGGTTCTTGGAACTGTGGCTTTGTAGAAAGGAAAAAACTATTCCCTCCGTGTCCTAACATAAAAGTTAATTAAGAATTGGATTTAGTAAATACAATATCTTAATAATCCACTTCATTTTTTATATTTATATTATTTTAAACTAATGTATCTAACTTATAAACTAATATATAATTTAATATTTTATAAAGGTACTTTAAGAAAATGATAATATATTTGTTATAACTAACTAATTTATTTAACTCAAATTAGTTATATAGCTCTAAATAATAATTAAGTAAGATCCATTCTGATCAAGATAGTTAAGCACATGGAATAGACGAGGGATTATATAGTTCTAAATAATAATTGAGTAAGATGATCAGGATAGTTGAGCACATGGAATAGACGAGGGGTTACAACTTATTTGGAGTCAAAGGCTGTAGGAAAGTAACAATATGCACCGATTTCTTCGTGGAGGCAACTGACAACATAAAGAACACCTGAGATATAGAAACCGACCAAGTCCTTAATATTACCTACCTCCAATCCTTAATATAAGAGCTAGTAGACTAATTTGAGTAGATTAAAAAAATAAATTTAGTTATTTATTTGTAATAAATAAATATTATCTTTTTTAAAATATCTTTGCTAATCATGTGTATTAGTTAGAACTACTATTTAATAAAACTTTTAACATGTGCAATTATTACAGTTTACTGGACTACTTTGAAAAACAAAAATAAATATGAAAAACAAAATAGACTGAAATTTTATATTTAAAATAAAATTGAAAGTCAACTAGTTCTTAGGGTGTGTTTGGATAGAAACCAAACCATGGTTTCAGAAGTGCTTTTACGGATTACGAAATAAATATGTGGAGGAGATTATCTCGTTTTGCGGAAAAGTGCTTCTGAAACCACGGTTTTGAGATACCCAAACAGGCCCTTAATAATATCATCATATAATGCGAGATTAGGAAATTAATTAAGTATGAGCAAGTTTATACAGAGATCAAACTAGTAACTATATATGCTTAATGGATCGCCAAATTTGCTTATAAAATCAGCTCCGAGTCTACATGAACTAATTAATCTCCACTAAAAATGGATCACAATCTCTTTCACTCTGATGGCTGGTGCATGTGCAGTGGAATACGGTAAAGGGGGCAGGAGGGGAAGGTTGAGAGAGTTAATGGGATATCACATGGCAATGAATTGTGGTACTGGGTTTGTGCATTAACTACCATCTGATACTGTGTCCTTCAAATGAGGCAGATTCTAATCAATAAGTCATGCTTGCTCTCAGGATACACCAAGTCGCTTTCCATCACAGAGACGCCCATTACAAAGCATCCCCCCATCCCTATCTGCATGTATAGCTTCCAATTGCAATTTCATTCTGCCTTGTTCTCCTCACTTTCATTTTTAGTTGTGATTCATAATTAATCCCTCTCCATATTCGTACTTTCCTGGTGTTTGAATTAGATTGGTTTTTTAAAAATGATTTTCCATGGTCTAAGATAACTAAATAAAAAAAGTTTTGTTTGGACATTACTTGAAAGCACCTTTTTAAAAGCTTTAAAAAGTGTTTGGATTGAAACAAACTCGTTTTACGTACTAACTTCATATATCATAAAAGAATTTTCATAAAATTAATCCAAACACCCTCTTATTATATATTTTTAACTGTTTAAAATGTTAGCTCGATATTTTATAAAATAAAACTATAAAAGCTACAGCTATTTCTTGAATGTTAAAAACTAATGTTTTACATAGTTTTTTTTAACCACCATAATGTTTTAAATAGTTAAAATATGATAAGAGTCATCAAATCACATTTTAAAGATTACGTTTTACCAAGTCAATATTTAGAAATTAAAATTTAATTGAGCTAAAGCTATAGTAATTAAATGATGATTTTTTTCTAATTAAAAAAATAATATATTTATCTAAAAAAAATTCAACTTCCTAAATAAAAACAAATTTAAGCAACCAGATTGCACAAATGTTACATAGAATAACTCCTCACATAGTTTGACAAAGTAATTTCCATAAGATTGTGAGACTCTTCATTCTATCAAATTAATCAAGAAAGAACTTTCTTTCTCTCTCTCGGGAATTATATGGAGAAGCTTTGCAGGAACATCTATAAACCGCGAGAAGAGATAACGGTAAACTGATAACAAACGACGACGTGGAGGGAAGTGAACCACGTCGCTCCTTCCCAGTGTCAGTTGGGTTGTGACTCCCTTTGATCCGTTTCTTCACCAGAAATGTCGTAGAACTGATCCTCCTTCCTCACAGAAATGTCGAAGCTGCTTCTCCACAGCCCTCACCTCAGCTCCGGTCACCGATGCACCACCTTCCTTGCCACTCCCTCCTCTGTCTCTATTGCCTCCGTTTCTCGCCTCCATTTTCGAAGTCGCTTCTCGGTTTCGTTTTCTTCTCAATCGCACCTTCGAAGTATCTGCCTATCTCAGTCCCGTCGAGACCTATCAGTTTGTGCATTCGATTCTTCATCTTCAGAGACTAAAGACGAGGAAGAAGCTGTCGGGAAGGATGGAATCAATAAGCAGTTTGTTCAAACTGCTGATGAGGATTATCCGACCGGGGAATTTGAATTTGAACCAGTTACTGGATGGAGAGGATTTCTAGTGAAGCTCAAGATGCTGGTTGCCTTCCCTTGGGAGCGTGTTCGCAAGGGCAGCGTTCTCACAATGAAGTTGCGCGGCCAGGTTTCCTCCTCATCCTTCGATATGAGTTTCTAGCTTTGAATCATTCCAAAGACTGTTTTTAGGTGTTTATGTCTTATTGGAGGAACTAACAGAAGGATAAGATAGCTAAGTTCGATTGTAGCCTTTTCAATCGCTGAATCAAGTTCTGCAGCTGTAAAGCTAGAATTAGCTTTGGAATTTTTGTTTTGGAGTATAAACGCGCTGTTCTCTCATTTGTTCAGATATCCGATCAAACAAAGAGTAGATTCTCTCGCGGATTATCTCTACCTCAGATTTGTGAGAACTTTCTGAAAGCAGCATATGATCCTCGTATTTCTGGTGTCTATCTCCACATTGACATTTTGAATTGTGGGTGGGGTAAAGTAGAAGAAATTCGAAGGCACATACTGAACTTCAAACAGTCAGGTATATTTAGTTTCACCTCCTGATTTCTATTACGGCGTTTTCAGACTAGAGTTTTGCCTGTTATGTTATTTCATAGGAGCTTAAATTGGTTTAGATCAAATGAAACTGGTGTACATTTTACCAAAAGAAAAAAAAAAATCTAAACCTGCATGCCAAATTAGATGTTATTGGAGAATGATACTTTTTTAATTTCTATGTTGCAGCAAATATGAAATTTGTAATGAATATTTATATTTGAATTGACATTACACAGTAACTAGGCTTATGTGTCCAACTTGGATGCAATTTAAATAGCATGTATTATAACAGCTTTCAATCTAATGGTCGTGTTTCTTGAAGAGTACATTTGTACGATAGCTTTTATCTAATGTAAACTTGTTTTTAATTAATGCTATTTTCTTAAGGCGTAGACTTTGCCTTTCCTGTTGGGAAGGAGGGATGTGGGACAGTGGGAGAACTTGCACACTGAAAAATAGAATGTGTTTGATGGCTAACAAGTAAGGTCGGTCATGGCACTTTAATTTGTAGAATTGCTTGTGTCGTTATCTTCCTATGCCCCTACATGATTGCCATTGCATGAATCACAAGTTATAAATTAAAATGCCGAGGTAGCATTTTCTAGGTTGTACCTGAGGTTTATATATCTAAATATTATAGTAGTATGCCCTTCCTCAAGTCTCCGCTGATATGTTGATTTGCTGAATGACATATAGTGGTGATTATTGATACTTGTGAATATCAATAGCATTTGTTGCTGATGCTACTTGCAGGAAAATTTGTTGTGGCTTATGTCCCTTCATGTCAGGAAAAAGAATACTACCTTGCTTGCGCTTGTGACGAGATATATGCCCCTCCAAGTGCCTATTTTTCTTTGTTTGGCTTGACTGTTCAAGCCTCATTCCTCAGGGGTAAGATGATTTTTCTTCTCTTGTCATATATTAAAGTAATAACTTGTTTTTATCACAATTCCTCGTTAGGAGTGTTTTTTTTTTGGGGGGGGGGTTTGCAACTTTAACGCCTCGTTTTATGACTATTTCCTACTTTTACATGATCTTAAATCTTGGCAAATGAGCTAGATAGATTGCCTTTTATGTCAGTTGCTTGATGCATCTGATGTTTATTTGGAATGTCAGAACCTGTTCTCACCTTGAGTGCGTTGTCTGATGTATTTTGAGGTAATTAGCTTCAAGACTTTTCCCTGATTCAAGGGGGTTGCA